CAAAGATTAAGAATATAAAAAATGATAAGTGTTGGCAGGGATGTGGTGAAAAGGGAACCCTCCTACACTGTTGGTGGGAATGTAAACTAGTTCAACCATTGTGGAGAACAATATGGAGGTTCCTCAAAGATCTACAAATAGAACTACCATTTGACCCAGCATTCCCACTTCTGGGTATTTACCCAAAAGACAGGAGAACGCTCAGTCAGAAAAGTGCTTGCACATCAATGTTTATTGCAACATTATTCAAAATTGCCAAGACATGGAACCAACCTAAATGTCCACAAACTGATGAATGGATTGGAAAAGTGTGGTATATATACTCTATGAAATTCTATTCAGCCATAAAAAATAACATGACCCTGGCATTTGATAGAAAGTGGTCTGATATGGAGGATCTATTGCTGAGTGAAGTAAGTCAGGCTATGAAAGATATTGTATGTATCAACTCAATATATACCGACTATCTTCACTCTATGGTAGAGAGTGAAAAATTGATAGGGCTTATTACCTGTTGGTGATGACAGGTACAGTATTCTCAACTGGATTGGTCTGAGAAGTGTTTCATGATGGGTAAAGTCTTTTTACAAGCAAAATGAGAAATAGTGATTGACTGTTTTAAAAAATAATTAGAATAATAAAAATGGTTGGAAAAAATATAGATAAGATATTGAATGATGAAGTGGGGAGATCAATGTCTCTGTATTGACTGACATGCATGGCATTCCCTTTTGAAAAAGCAATGTAATACGCTGTAAAATTATATGTAACCCAATGTAATATAAAGAAGATTATGATGATAATAATAATTAAAAAAAGAAATAAATTTTAAAAAATTAATAAAAAAAAAGAAAAGTAAAAAGATGAAAAAGGAGGCAGAAAAGACCATCATAAGCAATTCCAAAATTATTGAGCTTAAATACTGACATGAAGAAAAAGTACTTCAGAGACTTCCTGTAAGCTAGTGAATTTAATGTTAGGACAATACATAGTAGGGACGGTATTATGCATTTATTGCTCCTCAGTTTACAGAGTATTGTTATGCCTATGTATCTATTTAATGATCAGAGAATTTTTATCTTATTCATGACAGAAAGCACACGTGCGTGCACAAGACAAGGCTTGGGGGAAGCACCCTTGAAAGGGTCTCGTCATACCATGATCCACCTTTCCCAAGCAAAGAATCAACCATGTGGCTTCCAGCACTATAGGAACTACCAACTGTCACACAAGTTGAGGTCTAGTTCCTATTTTAATATAAAATTAGTTTATTTAAATGAGCACAGAATAGGGGCCAGCAGTTGGTGGTTAGGGCTCTGGACTCCCACATGGCTGACTAGAGCTCAAGTCTCAGACCTAGTGGCTCACTTTCTCACTCCTCCCATTGCCTGTCTCTCTCTGATGAATATACCAAGTTAATAATAATAATAATGCAAATAAAATGAAATAAATAATTCTTTACAAAAAAAAATTAAGAGCACAGAATACCACCAGTGTTTCAGGCTCAACCATAGGGCATACTCCTTACCTTCTACTAGAAGCATTGTTCAGTTTTGTAAAGGCAACACTTTGGTGCTTTGTTCCCAGCTTTAAAAGTCTATATGCTTCTTTGGAATCAGACACTTGAATCCACTGTAGATCTTTCAAAAATAAAAAAGACAGATATCAATTTATAAAAACACAGATTTTGTTCCACAACGCAATCTCTTTGAAAGTCTTTTCCCAGTAACGTACAATGAAATCTTTCTTATAGTAACAATGCTAGCTGGAACCAACTCAACTATTCGTATTTGAGTACTGAAGAGATTATAATGATGTTTCGTTATTTCAGTTACACGAACGCAAAAGGCAATGTCCTCCAACAGAGTCTGCCAAAAGAAAGATGTAAAACAGGTGCAATTCCTTAGAATTAAACCCATAAATGCAGACCCAATCTACAGTATGATTCAAACCTACATTATAGATTACAATCTTATAATGAATCATGAAATCACACTTATTGAATCATAACTTTTTTTTTGGAAGTTTTTTGTTTTTTTTTTAAGAGGTTTCCACTATAGGGCGTGTGTGCTCACCAGACAGAGAGAGACAGAGAGATAGAAAGCGAGAAATCACCCCCCCAGGGAGGATGGCCATGCCGCAATCCCTTCTCTTCCATTCTCCTCTCGGGATTTTGGGCATGCATGCACATGAGCCCAGCGTGAGTTTTAAGCCACCGGGTCGGGACGCGAACTGCGCTCGACTACGTGGGAATCTAGTGACATAGCCATTCTGCTAACTGCTGGTTCCCTGGAAGGTTTTTCTTATAGGGCGTGTGTGCTCACCAGACAGAGAGAGACAGAGAGATAGAAAGCGAGAAATCACCCCCCCAGGGAGGATGGCCATGCCGCAATCCCTTCTCTTCCATTCTCCTCTCGGGATCTTGGGCACGCACGCACACGTGCCCGGTGTGAGTTTAAGCCATCGGGTCCGGGACTCGAACCATGGTCGACTATGTGGGAGTCCAGCGACATAGCCATTACGCTAACTGCTGGTCCCTTGAATCATAACATTTTGTAAAAACAAAATAGAATACAGAAAACATCACAATGCATTCTTTATAGTAAAAGTACAATTCATTAAACTTCTGAATTATAATTATATAATTATAAGTATATGATTGTAAATATATAAATATAATTATAATGCTTACTTATACATACATAGGTACTAAATCATAACGTTATTAATATCTATTTTCTCTTGTGACTAGTGGTTTTAAAAGTTTGAGAAACACCACTGTGGAAGAACAGCACCATTTTGTAGCTCCAAAATTTGGCCTGTTTTAGAGTAGCAGCATAATATTATATCAATACACATAGTTTTTCTCTTACCAAGAAGTCACAGAAACTCAAGCAAATACATACCAAAATAGACTTTTAATACTTATTTAATTGTAATATACACCCTAAAACACATCTCTGAAGCAAAAACTTTTCTTATTCTCCTGCTGTCAGTAACTTGTACAAAAATTTTCAATTTCCTACTTACTTTCTAGAGTTAAAAGAAAACCTAAAAGAGAATTTTGGAGCAATAAAATAAAAAATATTTGTTAGTATACCTTTTATAAAAGAATAGCCCTTTATGTCTTGGGAAAGGCGTAACATCTTTCTCTTTTGGAATTTAGATGACACAGGAACAAACAAGTCATAGATGCATTCATTATAAATCTCAAAGAAGGAAACCCACACAGAAAATTTTACATCATTGTCCATATTCAAACTAGCTTGTTCACAATCTTTCATGGATTCTTCAAACTCTGACATATTCAAAGAGTTCGTTAAACTTCCTAGAAAAAAATAAAGAGAAGAAAACAAAAATCACAAAATTGGAATTAAAACAAATAAAGTTAAATAACACTTTAACAAAAAAAATTTTAAAAATAAGGGGTCAGCAAGTGGCATGCTGGTTAAGAGCACAATACTCCCACATTGTTCAAGTTCCAGACCTGGCAGCTTGCTTTCTCACTGCACCCCCCACTCCCCCACTCGAATTAAAATAAAGAAAGAAAGAAATGAAATAATACGTTAAAAAAAAGTATGCAAGTACTAAGTTCTAAAAATGAGTCAACAGTACAGATCAAGACTCCTGAATTTGAAAAACCGAACATCCTTAATCTTTGACCATCTATGTTAAACACTTTTTGGAATAAACTAAAATGTGAACAATATTTAGCTTAACTGAAGTTTGACTTCTTACCCCTTCTTTATAAAATGATGTTAATAAACAAAGTAAAAACTAAACATAAGGAAAAAGAAAAACAATTCAAGTTAAAACCTGTGAAAGGGTATCTAATGTTTAATCTGAATGAAGCTTTACAGTGACTGACATTTCATACAGATGTTCATCATCCTCCAGATACCATTGACCATGTCATAAATAAAGTCACTAAGAGTGCTTAAAAATTAAAAGTTGGGGGACCAGCAGATGGCGCAATGGCTATGTCACTGGGGATCTGGTGGCTTAAACTCATGCCAGGTGTGTGTATGTGCATGCCCAAGATCTCAAGAGGAGAACAGAGGAGAAGGGAATGTGGTGTGGCCATCCCCTCTGAGGGGTGATTTCTCACTTTCTGTCTCTCTGTCTTTCTGGCGAACGCACATGCCCTATAGCAAAAACCTCTCAAAAAAAAAATTAGAAGCTGGGGTCAGGAGGTGGTATGGTGTTTAAGGCACTAAACTCCCACATGGCCATTTGCAGTTCAAGTCCTAGACCTGGAGGAGATTGAATAATAATAATAATAATAATAATAATACATAAAATTAAACAAATAATTATTTTAAGCATTTGTAAATGGATTTCATATAATCAAATTATCAAAAATAAGTAATAAAGGAAATCTTACCAGAAAGAGTATCATAACTGTCATTTTGCATAGCAATCTAAAAAAAGAAAGTTTTTAAAGAGTTAAAAACATGTTTAGTTAGGTTAAATAACCAAGATGTTAACTACCTATCCAAATAAGTCACCAACCAAATCACAACTTCTCATCCACTCAATTCAGAGATCTGCTTATCCATCCCTTTCCTCACTAAATAATGCAGTCTCAAATAGGAAACTTGGGAGACAGAAAAGTATTGAAAAGAATATCCTTGTATATAATCCCTGACACTCACAGGTGTTTACTGTCAACATTTCAGTATATTTTCTTTCTACTCATTTTCCTCACACTTAATATATAGTAACATTTTTCTCCCCACAATTAGAAATTACTTATAAACATTCAAAGGCTATATAATGGAAAAGATGTGAAATTACTTCATTATTCCTTTATTATTAAGCATTTAGATTTACAAACTTTTGTCAGTAAAAATAATGAATATACATTTCTTTTGCATTCTAATTACTTCCTTAGTATGCCTAAAAATGAATTGGTAGATGAAAAGAAAATTTTAAGGTTCACGTTTTAATTTTTTTAAAGTTTCTTTCTTCCTGGAGGCCAGGAAATAGCATAGCACTTACATTGCTGGACTCCCATATGGCTGACCTCAATTCAAGTCCCAGACCCAGGGGCTTGAAAATCAAGCCAGGCATGTGTGTATGCATGCCCAAGATCCCAAGAGAATGGAGGAGAAAGGATTGCAGCATGGCCAGCCCCCCAAGGGGGTGATTTCTCACCTTCCCTCTCACTGTCTCAGTCTCTCTCTGGCAAGCACATGCATCCTATGGCAAAAAACTTAAAAAAAAAAAAAACAATAAACTATTAATAGTTTTCAATAATCTTGAAATAAATGTCTGAAAGCATTACAAAACCTAGAAAGCCCAGGGGACATAAACAGATAAGTATAACCTTATAAAATTTTTTTAGTTTTTATTGTACCACCCGACATAAAATATCACCCCCCTTATGGCATACAACATATTTAGCAGAGTAGGTTCCTTAATCAAAATGTATTTAAATGAATCAATATTGAAAAATGCAATGGCAGAAAGTAAACAATAAGCTGAAAACTGTGCAACCCATAAAAAAAGAATTAATGTGTTGAATAAATAAGTTCTTACAAATCAGTAAGATGAACAACAAACAGTGGAAAAACAGTCAAAAACATAAACAGTGATCCACAGAAAAAAGCGGAAGATAATTACAGACTTATTCTAATTGAGTAAATATAAATTAAGCCCAAGTGATATGCTTTATCACTTTTCAGACTAGAAACTACTGAAGAGCCAGTGTTGACTTGAGTTATAGAAAATGGGGACCAAATTTATTTACAAGAGAATGTTTCCCTACTGAAGCATTGCTTAAAAAGAGTAAAAGAGAGCCAGCAGGTGGCATGGTGATTTAAGTGCCAGATTCCCACATGGCCAACCATGGATTGAGTCCCAAACCTGGCAGTTTGGAAATCATGTCGGGCATGTGTGCAATGTGTGCCCAAGATCCAAGAAAGAGAATGGAGGGGAAGGGACTGTGGTGTGGTCACTCCTCTAAAAGATGATTGGTCACATTCCATCTCTGAGCCTCTCTACAGTGAGCACACATGCCCTGTTGCAAAAACCTAAAATAATCTAATAATAACAATAATAATAATAAAAGTTAAAGATGATAACAATGAAAATATCCATCAATGGGGCATAGGATTTAAAAAGTTAAGGAAAAGAAAATAAGTTAAATACATAAATAATAAGAGACATGCAATTTAAGGTAGTAAGAATTTAATATATGCTAAGTGATAGAGTAAGTCATACAACGTTTTAGTAAGATCTCATTTGTGTTTATTTAAAAAAATAAGCTGTATCCTACATATTATATAAAGAAAAACATATGAAGATGTCTACAACCATAAATACGAGCCTATGTGTATACATACAGACATAAAGAAAACTGTATGTGGATTTTATAGAAAAGAAAATAGTGCAAAGAGGATACTTTCCAACGCCAATGGTCCTTTTGTCTTCACTTTTTATTTCTCATGTGTCCTGGTTTAAATTTTATATGTACATATTACTTTTATAATTAAAATACAGAATTTGTAGAAATTACACAAAATGTACAATGCTTGCTCTACAACATGTAAAGACTTCAGGAGCATTTACATTTATATTGTTTAAACATTCTTGCAGTTTGTTTAATATAAACTATAAAATTTTTTTTCTCAAAAACAAAAAGTGACTGCCATCACCAAAGAGACTCCAATTCTAGGCTGAAACAATCTAAAGTATTTTAAATGGGTCATTTTTTGTAATATATATTTTTCTAAATAAATCTACTAAAATATTTCTGTACCTCTTTAATCTGTCGAAGTAATGCACTTTTGTTAGCAATTTCTTCTTTCTCTTGGTCTGGTGATAACCGTAAGTATTCTCTGGATCTATGTGGTTTAAGATTCATCTTTGTATATAGCCTTTCCTGAAGACTATCAAATAACACATTCAAAGTTCGAGGCAGAATGCCAATATTTTCTTCTGTGCCTATGAAAAGAATTTTGGGGTTATACTCTCTCATACTAGTAAGAAAAAAAGAACGTTCTTGGATTAGTATAAAGCTCCTTTATATTACCAATTGGCAAGAGAGAAAATGAGAGATTACTCAATCTTTCATCATTTTGGTCTTCACTTTATTGACTACTATTCTGATACAACCTGAAATCTTACATTTATATCAGATCATAATATTAAGATTTGCAATCACTATAATCACAAAGTATAGAAATCAAATGAAATATAAAGTGTCTCCCTAGTTACCTATACTTAGTCCTCTATACCACATCAGTTTTTTGTCTGAATTTTAACATTGTCTTATTCTCTACCACATGGGTAGTTTTACAAGTGACTTAAATTTAGGTGTGAATTACAAGCCACCAGCAATACATATTCAGTATGTTATTACTATTAAGAATGGAGTGAACAGGCACAGGTGATAAACATAGCTACATGAAAGTATGATGAAAAAGCTGAGTAAATATTACTATTCTTTTTCTTCTCCAGCCAAAAGAAAACAGTATTTACCTTGAAATGTGTATGTTTTTCCTGAATTGGTTAGCCCATAAGTAAAAATCAGCCGACTCTGTCCTCTCAAGAGGTCTTTTAATGGCTGCATAATGCAACCCTGAAAGAATTCCTTCTGCGTAGTTGCTGGGCCAAAAACCTAAGTAAGCATTGTTAAAATAAGTCTTTTTAGAAAATTCAAGTTAATATTCACAGTGAGTTCCACCCTATCCTGTTTAAAAAATTTTAAAGAATGGGTTTATAAGATTCATTCTTAAAACTGGTACCATATCCCTACTCCTACTAATATTCCTGACAGTTTAACGATTACCAGGAAGTTGTCCATATAGAAATCAGTTCCAGCCAATCAGATTTTCATCTATCAAGTTTAAAAATGAACATTTCCCTAAAAAATTCATTTAAAATGGCAGTTATTTAACTTCTAATTACGTATTTACCAAACTGAAATTTGAGACTTAAACTAAAGAAAAAAACAGTAACATTTAAATTCTATAAGCACAAATATATATAGCTCACTATATGCAATTACTTAGCAATTTAAGCTAAGCCAAATCTCATGTGGGTATTTACCTTAGAAAAACTGAATTTCTGGGCCATCTGCCCACAGCTTTTCTCACTTAACCGACCAAGGATGCTTTGAGGATCTTTCAGCAGAACTGTCTGTGAATCCAGAATATGCACACAGCCCTAGAATGCATACCCACAATAAATAAGAACAGTTGTATTTTGCCTGTTTAATGAAAATAAAACATCAAAATTCATTGAAATTCAGTACAAACCTCAGACTCGTGTTCTTTTTCTGACTGCGTGAATGGTCTTATTCGAAGACAAACTTGGAGATAATCTTTAGATTCCATACTGTTTGCCTTAAGAAGAACAGAACAATGTATTTTAAAAATACAGATGACTTTTCAGAGATCTTCCTTTAATATGGCTGATTGTTACATAATTATCTGAGATTATAAAGAATTTCTGTGCAAATAGTCACCGTTCTGTAAATACAGAATGTCTTTAAACATTTAGTATGTTTAAAGGAATAGCGTCAGCAGATGGCATAACAGTTATGTCACTGGACCCTCACGTAGTCAAATGCAGTTCGAATCCTGCACTGGAGGCTTAAAAAACTCAGGCCAGCTGTGTATGCATGCATTTCCAAAATCCTGAGAGACAAACGGAGAAGGGATTGCATTTATGACCATCCTCCTGGGGAGAGGTGGGTGATTTCTCACTTTCTGTCTGTCTTTCTCTGTCTCTCTGGCAAGCATATACACCCTATAGCAAAAAATCTCCAAAAAAAAAAAAAAAAATTAAAAAAAAAGAAAACTCAGATTTGTTTTTATAAAATAAATAAATAAATCACAAGAAATTCAGTTTTCTCTCCTTCTATATTTATACACAAAGCTTACAGAAAGCCTTATTTAGGGCCAGATTGTGATGCAGTATTAAAACATGACATTCTGGGAGCAATCCACATGGAAAGCTCCCTGAGTATACCAGGCTGGCTAAAGACTCAGGGTGGATCACAGCAACAAGAACTGTTTGAGGGTGCAGTCCCTCTGCCTTCCTCATTCACAGAAGATATAAACTCAGAAAAATTAAAAAATAAACAAAGAAGATACTTCATTTAAACAAAAAACTTTTCTCGATAAATACTTAAACTTTGTATCTAATTTAATTAATAGGACTCTAAGTCATTGATAAACAGAACTCCAGAACAGATCACCAGTAACCAGAATATTCCATTAATCCAGATGCTGGATTCCATCTGCATTCAAAACACCTTTTTAAAATAATTTTGTTAATTTACTTCTTCCATGAGTGAGGGAGACAGAGAGACAAAAAGGCAGCACCCCTAACAGAATCATGATGACACAATCCACCCTGGCTTCAGCCAGCACCAGATCAAGGGCACACGCACGGTGCCCAGAATGCTCATGGAGGTCTCTGGAACCAAACATAGAACTTTCCATGCGGGAACACCTTGCAGATTGCTGTGTTTCACCACTGCACCACTGTCCAGTCCCTAGAGGTTTTTTTTTACTATATAATATATATAATACTCTTTGCTACTTTGAGGAGCTATTAGTTCATTTTTAAAAATAATTATAAATAAATGTTTTAAATTTTCTTAAATATAAAAAGAAAACAATTACTTGAAAAACATAACTTACCAAAACCAACATAAAAACTAGAAAATTTGAATACCACTACATCTACTGAAGAAATTAAATTCATTACCAAATGGAATACACACACACACACAAACACGCACAAGCCTCCATGTCCTGGGCAGTCTCTGGTCATTTTAAACATTTAAGAAAATAATCACAGAAATCATCCATAAACTCTTCAAGAAAATAAAGGAAAGGCCTCAACTAATTTTGGGTTTGACATAATGATATTACAACCTGACAAAGATATCCTTAGAAAAAGGATTACAGAATAATGTATCACTTTAAGATAGATCAATTTTCCTAATAAAATATTCATTGATACATAAAACAGGATAATGCATTCTGAACAACAATCATTGACCCTAAGAATAAGGCTGGGTTTTTTTTAAAGAATTATTTTATTTAACTTTATTTATCCTAATTTGACATAAGAGAGAGACAGATAGACAGAGAAAGCAAGCTACCAGGTCCAAGACTCAAACCTCAGTCGGCCATTTGGGAATCCAGCGCCCTTAACCACCACGCCACCTGCCTGTTCAATAAAGTCAGTTTTTAACATTCTAAAAAACAATCAAGGCAATTTACTATGTTAAAAGAATAGACGGGGGAGGCAGCAGGTGGCGTGGTGGTTAAAGTGCTGGACTCCCACATGGACAAACATGGCTCGAGTTCCAGACACGGCAACTAGAAAATCACTCCAGGTGCATGTGCATGTGTGCTGAGAATCCTGAGAGGACACTGGAGGAGAAGAGACTGAGGTGTGGCCATCCCCTTTGGTGGGGTGATTTCTCACATCCCTGTCTTTCTTTGTGTCTCTCTGGCAAGCACATATACCCTATGGCAAAAGCCTAAAAGTTTTCAATAAATAAAAGAATAAATGAGAAAATAGTAGATAGAGCTATACAGATAATACTGTTACAGATATAAATAAAAGAGAAGGGAAAGGAAGCTATCAAAATTGGGAAAGAAGAAATAAAATGGGGACCAGCAGTTAGCATAATGGCTATGTCGCTAGGTCGCTACTCCCATGTAGTCGACTGAGGTTCGAGTCCTGGATCCGGTGGCTTAAACTCACACCAGGCGCATGTGCATGTGTGCCCAAGATCCCAAGAGGAGAAGGGATTGCAGCGTGGCCATCCCCCAGGGGGGTGATTTCTTTCTTTCTGTCTCTCTCTGTCTTTCCGGCGAGCGCACATGCCCTATAGCAAAAATCTCTTGGGGAAAAATAAAAGAAAGAAAATTATCAGGATTCATAGACAACATGAAGATTGTTCACACAAAATCCAAAAAGATTACTAGAACTATTCATTAGATGAGTTTAGCAGTGTAGCATGATACAAGGTCAACATACAAAATCGACTGTTTTTCCAGACTGAAAATTGTCAGAAATTGATTTTAAAAAGCAACACCAGGCCAGCTAGTGGCACACCATCAACACAATGCTCTGTAATGTTGTATCCAAAAGGGAAGGTCTTGGGTTCAAAACTCAGGGCTTCCCTGTACATGCTAGGTGTTCATGATCTGGGCTGGGTGAGGTCAGGGGTGGAACAACATAAAGACTGTTGGGAGTACTTGACTGTCTGTCCTTCTCATGGAAGAAACAGAGAAACAAAAACTTTAAAAACAGCAACACCAGGGACAGCAGGTGGTGTGGTGGTTAGGGTGCTGGACATTCCCACATGGCTGACCACAGTTCGAGTCCCAGACCTGGTAGCTTGCTTTCTCACTTTCCCTCTCTCTATGTGTCTCTCTTCAGAAAATGTGAAAGATGTGTACACTGAAAACTTTAAAATATTGACAAAGTAAAGGAGAGCAAACTAAATAGATATACAACTTGTTCATTACTTGGTAGATTCAACATGGTTACCATTTCTGCCAAAAGCGATCTGCAGAATCGATGCAAACATAATTAAAATTCTAGCAGGCTCGGGACCAGCAGTTAGCATAATGGCTGTCGTTGGACTCTCACGTAGTCAACTGTGGTTTGAATCCCGGACCCGGTGGCTTAAACTCACGCCGGGCATGTGTGCATGCGTGCCCAAGATCCCGAGAGGAGAATGGAGGAGAAGGGAATGCAGCGTGGCCATCCCCTCTGGGGGGTGATTTCTCGCTTTCTATCTCTCTGTCTCTCTGTCTGTCTGGGAGCGCCCGTGCCCTATAGCAAAAACCTCTCCAAAAAAAAAAATTCTAGCAAGTTTTGTGGCTTTATGAGGAAACTGATATATTTATTTTTAAATCATGCAGAAATGGAAAGTATCTACCAAAAAGAGCTCTGAAAAAGAAATATGAAGGGTGGGAACCAGCAGTTAGCGTAATGGCTATGTCGCTGGACTCTCATATAGTCAACCGCCGCGGTTCGCGTCCCGGACCCAGTGGCTTAGAACTCACACTGGGCACGTGTGCGTGCGTGCCCAAGATCCTGAGAGGAGAATGGAGGAGAAGGGATTGCAGCGTGACCATCCCCCCTGGGGGGTGATTTCTCGCTTTCTGTCTCTATGTCTCTCTCTGTCTGGTGAGCGCACGCGCCCTATAGAGAAAACCTCTCCAAAAAGAAAAAAAAAAAAAAAAGAACAAAAAAGAAATATGAAGGGTTAGCTACCTGACTTCACAACTGTAGGGCCTACAAACCCTACAATCTGTTAAAACTACTTGACTCTGCCATTACTACGTAAAAGTGGGAAAAGAAAATAAGTAAACAAATGATCATGGTTTTATTTTATTTATTTATTTATTTATTTATTTATTTATTTATTTATTTATTTATTTATTTATTTATTTATTTATTTATTTATTTATTTTTTGAAGAGGTTTTTGCTATAGGGCATGTGCGCTCACCAGACAAACAGAGACAGAGAGACAGAAAGCGAGAAATCACCCCCCAGGGGGGATGGCCAAGCTGCAATCCCTTCTCCTCCATTCTTCCTCTAGGATATTGGGCATACATGCAAACGCACCTGGCGTGAGATTAAGCTACCAGGCCCAGGACTCGAACAGTGGTTGACTACGTGGGAGTCCAGCAACATAGCCATTATGTTATCTGCTGGTTCCGATCACGATTTTAATATGATAAAAAGTTATTTATGGAAGAGACAGGCAGATGTTGTAGTGGTTCCGTCGCTGGCTCCCACGTAACTGATTGTGATTCAGGTCTAGATAAACTGGCTTAAACTTGCACCAGGTTTATGTGTGTCCAAAATCCCAGGAGGAGAATGGAGAAGGGACTTTGGTGTGGCTATCACCTCGGCGGAGTGATTTCTCGCTTTCTGTCTGTCTCTCTGTCTCTCCAGCAAGCACATGCACCCTATAGCAAAAAATCTCTCTTAAAAAAAAAGTTATCTATGGGGAACAGTAGTTAGCATAATGGCTATGTCACTGGACTCCCCGTGGTTCGAATCCCAGACCGGGTGGCTTAAAACTCATGCCAGGTGTGTGTGCGTGCATGCCCAAGATCCCGAGAGGAGAATGGAGAAGGGATTGTGGCGTGGCCATCCCCCCTGGGGGGTGATTTCTCGCTTTCTGTCTCTCTGTCTCTCTCTGTCTGTCTGGCGAGCGCACACACCCTATGGTGAAAACCTCTCCAGAAAAAAATAAATAAAATAAAATAAAAAGTTATCTATGGAAAATAGTTGGATTTCATATTATTTCCACATCATGAAACATTTTTCCGATTTTTCTTTAACCATTTAAAAATGTAAACATATTTGAGCAAGTATAAAAACAGGTCATTATTTGTCAACCCTCATGTTAAATAAGACAACTACATAATACATGATACCATTTATATACAAACAGGTACGTAGAGTTCCTTCCTCCTTTCTTTTCTTTTCCTTGTCTCTTTCACTATTAAATGAGCTAAAGTATTTTGAAGAACCTGATACAGCAGGTGTGTTATTATTTTTTACCATGTCCCTCAACCTTCTTTCATCATTCTTTGTAAAATGGGTTAGCTTATATCTCTAAGGCACTAAAATTAACAATCTAATAAGTAGGATATAAATGGACAGAAAAGTAAACTTAGGTCTAAAAGAGAGACACAGTACATAAACATGATAGTGGTAGTAGACAGGGTAGGAAAAAAACTTTTACTTCTTAGTCTAAGCACTGCTGGATTGTTTGAATTTTTAAAATGTGTGTTACTTTAAGAATTATGGCCTATATATACTAGGGGTGTAGTGGAATGCTTCAGATTTTTGAGGAAATCACAGCAATATTAGAACACCATGAACTATTCCATGTAGGAAGTAGTTTCAATGTGAGATCACACTACTTTTGATGATGATGTACCTTTGCTAAATTGGATCTTTCCGTCGTTACTGTGATTAAAAACAAACAAACAAACAAAAACACTATATGAAAACAACAAAGAACATAAAAGGAGGGTAGCAGTGACTAATGTGACTTCAAGATTTGAGAAGTTATGCAGTTTCCAAAAAACACACATATCCCTTGGCAACTGGTGGTGGTGTGGGTGAAAGTGGCTTGATTCCACATAGCCAACTACATGGTTCAAGTACTGGACCCATGGTTTGAAAAACATCCCAAAAGCATGTGTGTCCATGCCCACAATCTTGAGAGGAGAGTGGAGAAAGGATTGTGGCATTGTCATCCCCCATGGGGGTAATGCTTTCTCACTCTTTCTCTTTCCTTTCC